AGACAGAATCTCTCCAGACTGAATCTAAACTTCCCAAACCAGCAAGCCAAAATACCATGAATTCCTTAGGGTGGTTCTTAACCTTCCCATACTCCTGCTGGGGGCTAAGGAAATGCTTATCTCCCCGAGCGCAGCCTTCCTCAAACCATTCCATCACATCTGCCCAGGGAACAGCTTGCCCTCATACAAATGGACTGCCATTTCCCTGACGGGTTTCTACAGGGATATAAACACAGGGCTGTGGAGTAGAGCATTTGCCCTGTGTTTTGCCCTGCTCCAATGGGACCATTACTGTATTGCAACATTGTGATTTGGGTTTTGCTATTTTTATTTTGCTTACATGATACACCACTCAGAGATGGTTGGAATGAAGTGGTAGATAAATGTTATAAATAAATGAATATTATGCCTGTATATCTTTTGTGCCAGTCAACCATTCCTCTAGCTTATCAGGAGTTCCCCCAAACCGTTTTCTCAATCACTGTTACTCAGTTATACAACTGTGCCCTCATTCATGTGCCAAAAAGTAAGGCATATGTATCATAAGTTACTATCAAAAAGAAAATGTAAGAATTTTTTTTACAAAAGTATGACTTCTACTTATACAACTCGCCATTACCAAATTGTAATTTCTAATTGCTTTTTTGCACATGGCTCCATATTCATACCCATCTGTGCGTTACATTTGCTTAGGGGAAAAAAGCAATGTTTAGAGATAAAAATGTGATTGTGTTTCTAAATATTAAATATAAAAGATTGCCTCTAATATGAACAATGCTTAGATGATGAGACAGGTCTCCTTCTCTACAAGGAATTATGAGAACTTTCTTCCTGGAGGCTGTCATATAGAATTTAAAACTGGGGAACTTTGGTGTCTTGGTTGTCAGTAGGGTTGAAATAAATCTAAACCATCCTTCTGAATCAATCCATTATTCCATAGTATGGGACCTTGAATGTTGATGAATGGTTAAGAGACTTCTTTCTCTTCTCCCCCAGCTGGAGATGTATTTATACCATACAGGTCATGCCCTATTCTATGACATCATTAGATTGGAACCTCTCCATGCAGCTATTGAAATCAAGGCAGTGGGAGAGAACTTGGTGTGGAGGAGGGCTGCATATCCATCTCCAGAGAGCCAATTCCATCAAACTCTCTTGGACCCTCCGATTACCTATTTGGTACAAAACATAAGACCTCTTTTATGTTGCCAGGGGAAGATCAGAAATCTTAAAACTTCCCTACACTCTTGTTGATTGTCCTAGTTGTTTGACAGTGTCGTATTTCAATTTCTGACCTCTTGGAGATTGTCAGCAAATTTACTAGTCTCAGAAATTTTTCGCAAGAGAGCCGTGGCAACAATTACCAGGGAAAGTGTTTTGCTGTAAGTATTTCTGCTTGCACCTGCCATTTCTGGCTAAAAGATGGCAATCAGAAATGGATAGTGATTTCTATTACACCTCCAGCTAAGGTGCAGCATTCTTCATGTTTTTCACTGGGACTTTCTTTTTGAAGGATTTATTGGACATCACTACTGATGAGGAAGCAGCAAAACTCTGTTTCAGAAGAATGGAGACCCCACTCAACGACATTGGAAGGTTAATCATTTTCTGTCCATAGAAAAATTCAGCTACTTTATTATGATGTTATCTTGGTTCCCGTGCAGGGGAGTAAAATTATACTTTTAACAAGATTATTTTTTTAAGTTTTAGAATTGCATAGTACATTTTGAAATGTATTTGAAATGGAGAGAACATATATGGCATATTTTTATATCCTAAGTGCATTATTTGAATTGGCATACAGGGCTACCTGCAGGGTTGTTTTTTCCCCCCTTTTTCACTACAACTGGGACTGGTGTTACTAAGTATGGGTTTAGGAGACATTTCAATAGGCCACAAGTAGTCAGAGATACTCGGGTTTTATTCTAGCAAATTCACTGCCCAGCACTGAAATAGGCTGGATCTGGAGGACTGGGGGGAGACCTTTAGTGGGAAAGGAGCCTGGATTGTACTCAATGTGGACTCTAAGAACCATCCATTCAACAGTCTCATCTTATGGGGCCCAGAAAGCATGCCTGCTCTGTGGAAGAGCCTTGCCTCTGGAATGATGTCCCCCCCCCCCCCCAAATTAATGTGGCTCCTACCTTTATGATGTTTTGGAAAATATTAAAAAAAGCTGGTTGTTTCCCCAGGTCTTCAGATCAGGTGGTTGTGGAGCCCTTTCAGTTTAGTCTAGTTTTGTATGATTTAAGGCTAGGTGTTTATTTTTCAGTCAACCGTGTTCTCTTTTTATATGTATTGCTTTTCTTTTATTTGTAAGCTGCCCAGAGTGACCATGGAGTCAGGCAGCCTAGAAATTGGATACAATAAATAAAATAAACAGGTGTTTCATTTTCTCATGATTCATAAAGGTTCACAAATGGGAACTTTTCTCATGAATGAAATATGTTCACCAGACCATAAATAAAAGTTGCATTCTTGACACATGAATTTTCCACTGCAATTTTTTTTTCGCATTTTTATTTAACATTCTGAGTTTGAGGGCCTTATTTAAAAACTTAAAGTGTTGTTGATTTACTCTTAAGCACCTTGTCCAAGCCAGACAATGGAGCCTTACTTTGCTTCCATTTCATTTCATTCTTACATTCCAAAAGATTTATCTTTACCAAAGGTATCAGAAAGCATCCCTTACCTTCAGAGGAGCCCAGCATCCATTTTAAGAGTTTAGATTTGACAGCATATGTCCCCTGAAGGTGAGTAATTTTAGGTCTGGTAGAAGAGCTTCCGTTTTGATGCAGAAGGTTCCAGGCTGAATTCTGGCCCCTGTAAGTTGGGCTGGGAGAGATTCCAGGCTAAAACCGTGAGAGCCACTTTCACCCACTGCCTGGCATGATATGAGGCATCTTTGCACCCAAAGTCAAAACTACCATCTTAGCTTTTCATTACCTTCCCTGAAAAGTCACCTGTCCTGATAAACCAGTAGAAAAGAAGCTCTTTAGGTTCTTACCTTCCTAAAGTGGGTAATTTTTCTGCCTCAGAAGCTAACAAATGATCCAATCATACCTAATGCAGACCCAGCAGAACTTATTTATTTCACATAAAGCAGGGATTATCAACAGGGTTGCAAAAGAACCAGCACACGTCACCTCTAAAATCATTTTTCTGTGACCCATTGCCAATTAAATCAATAGGCCAAAATCTTGCCTGATTTCAGAGATTCCAGAGAACATCTCCTAAGGCTGAAGAAATATCAAACATTCTTGTGAGATGTTAATGATGACACACAAAGTCTTGTTCACTTTGCCAAAATGTCATCTCATAAGAGTGTTATATTTTACTTACTTGGAGGTACCTGGACCATTTTACAAGGGTGCAAAATAGTCCCTTGGGCCTGAAAAGTTGCAACTTCTGCCTTAGAGGCTAGTGAAAGAAATACAGGTAGTCCTCATTTAGCAATCCCATTTGATTCCAGCTACTCGGTCATTAAGTGAAGTGGTCACTACGTGACTGCTATTGTGCTTATGATTTTACTTCAGCTTTCCTTAGAAGGCAAAGGAAAACCCTCAGTGAAACTGATTAGGGTCTTGTCAATTTCAGCTTTGGGGAGGGTCCTAATCCACTAATTTAGGTCACAGAGCTGAGCTTGTTAACTTGCTGTTAGCACTTTTTAGGGACACAGTGCCCTGCAGAGAAAAGCAGCTCAGGAAGAGCTGAGGCAGTCTCTCCACTCTGCAAGGGGGGTGAGGGAGAGAAAAAATACAGATCAGGCAGAGGACAACATGTACCAACTGACCGTAATAGCAAACACATGACTGAGTCACAGATACTGCAAAGATCGTAAATGGGCACATTGGTCACAAAGTTACTTTTTCATCACTGTTGTAATTGCAAACAGTCACTGTACGAGGCAGTAGCTAAATGAGGACCACCTGTATTGGTATCTTCCCATGGAGTAAACATAGAGAGAGGTAACATATGGCATCCTACAGGTATAGCTGAACTTACTATGCTTCTATATCACTAAAAATGCTGCAAACTACTAGAACTACCAACCTCTAGTGGAAATTAACTAGACAGAAGCAAAGCCAGAACCATCTCTGTTTGTGAATGGACTTTTTTGTTTTTCCTTCTTCACAGCAAATCCCAAGAGCTAATTGAGAGCACCAAAGTGGACAGCCAACCCCAGGACTCAAATGCAGAAGCTGAGGAGAGCAAATCCAAAGACCAAAATGATCAGGGTGAAGATGACAGCAAATCTCTTGCTGAGGAGGTTGAGGAGAACAAATCTGAAGATCTAAAGGAACCAAATGAGGATGAGACCAAGCCATCCCTGGAGACATCAGAACTGCAGGAAGATACAGAGGCCTCCATGTCACATCCCTCTAGTTCATGGGATAAAGCTACATCAGACTTTAAGGATGATCTATCTAGCTTTCTTACTTCTGAGCAAAGCACAACTCCAATTTTTTCCTCACTCACTTCAGACAAGTAAGATATCAAGTTTCCAGCAGAAGATAGGATTATCAGGATTTTTTCATCCCACAGTTTAGAAAATGATTTCCAAATGGGCCTCAGTTACACTCAATTCAACTTAATCTAGTCTTTTCACTGTCTTTATAACAGCCTTCAATTGGTTAAACTCTTAAATGAAAGAGAAATCCTATACTACATAGCACTTACCTCATGGGCCTTAAATTTCATATGCTAAGTTTCTACAATATTAAGATACAGCGTTTGGTTTTTTCATGTTGTCATCTAGCAGTCTGAGTGGTCATATTCACACAACATCACATAACCATAACATAACGTAACCAGGTCACCTAACAGCTGCTTTTGCATGACTTGCTAAGATTGATTAGTTTTAACCCTGATTAGGGATTTTGGTAAGTAGAGAGGGTTCATGTGTCTAGCCAACCCAACCATTTTGTTAGTTAATGACTCAATGTATTTTGCAATCCCAGAAAAACAGATAACTCAGAAACCAAAAATGTGTCATGTGAACTCTTAGAGGGAGTTGTCACCTGTTCCTGGGTTTGAATTTATTTTTCTCTTCCTAGTACAACTATTGAAGATCTAAAGACGGAAACGTGGATGGAATCCCAGTTGGTGACCCCAGAGCTGCAGTGTGAGCTTGAGGAAGAGATTCCCTTCTCCTTGTGGAAGAACAAGCCTGCAGAATGGAAGGATGAAGAACTCAGCTTTTCTGTCCCGGCACGCAAGCCTTCCTTCCATAACTGCTGTTGCTGCAGTACAACTGAGTAAGCTGAGACATCAGGTGGTGACGGGCTGCAGGCATTCTGCTCATGACATTCCTCTCATTGTTCCCCTCTTTGACTCTTTTGTACTGTGTTGGGATACACCTCAGGCAGTCTTGAGACACAGGGAGCTGATGTTCAAGAAACAAGTTACAAGTAGTATGCTGGCCCTTAGAAAAAGTTCCAGATAGGCTAATCTTTGATCACTAAAGAATTTTCCTGAATGTTTGTGGCTGTTTTAAATCACTGAAGGGTCAACATTTCCATGACCAATGAATGGTAGGATTATCCTGCCCTACACAATTGTATGACACCATTAAGATTTTCTTCCATTTCAAACAATCAGAAGGATGTAATCTGATAGCACCTTTTCCAACTAACAAATTTTATTAAAAGGTATTTGTAAGCTGCAGCTCACTTTGTCAGATGCATAGAATGCTAGGCTGATGTAGAATTTAAATTGGGATGGGGGGAAAGCGGGAAAGACAGATCAGTTATGCAGATGCAGGTTATATGTGAGACAGATTACAAGAAACTTGTCAATGAAAAATTGTGATGTCTTAAAAAAATGCTGTGTTTGTTGTTCCATGTTCAAAGTCTTCCAATGCTTCTAATCAGGTCACAGAACTTTTGATGATCTGAAATTACTTTCTGTTGAACATGACATATTCATTCTTGTCACTGTAAATCCTTTGCCTCGTCTGATTAAGCGCTTGGACAATATTCTGTGCTCTGTCAGCTTCACTTTGTTTTAAAGCATTTTAAAGTGAAATTCAGGAAATACTTTTCAGTCACTCTCCTAATATGTTAACCTTTCCTATTTCCTATCTCATAGACGGTTGATCAAGCACAGCCCATTGCATGTTCCCAAAGCACCATTTCACAAAAACGTTGTTTGGACACGTCAAGGACCACGATTCAGAGGACATGGGGTGAGAGTAGGAGTTTAGGACTGTATTAAGATAATAGTTTTAAAATATTGGTGTGTCCCAGAAAATTATCAGTGGGTGCTCAAGGAAATTACAAGTAGTAGTGAACTCTGAAAGACAGCTTTTCCATTACCACAAGCACTGATCTTCTGTTGAAACCACAGAGAGCATTAAGTATCCTGCATCATACTCTCAGCTCAAACAAAGCCACAGAAATGGGAGATACTAGCATCCCTGTATGAACTGCATACTTATGTTACAACCCCCATAAAACTTAGACACTTTCTTGGTAGACAAATCAGAATGTGAAAATCTCCTGTTAATCAGGGTGGATACAAAAATCCCATTTTGCTGAAGCACAGAGACTGATTAGTCCATGGAAAGATGGCTTGTTTTCTATGCCTGCTCTTCTGGCCTACATAATCTTCAGTACATTTTGTAACTACATAAATATGATAATATGGAAAACACTGGACAAAGGCAGTATAACAGAAAAAACACTACACCAAGACAGGAAGAGCAGAGAGAGAGCAAAAAAAAAAAAAATTTAATCAGAGGCATAAACATTTTGGAGACTCTGTTTTGAGAAAATTATTATCTATAATTTACTTATAAATTTATAATTTATAAACCTATAATGTATATACAGGAACCCCATGCATCTTGTTGAGGTAAGGCAAATTGAGAAGAGGAAGGATCCTTTTGCTCTCAGTTGAAATTAATAGGTGGCCATTTATTTAAATAATACTAATAATCATGCCACCTCACCTCTCGTCTCAGCATAGTATTATGTCAACATCAAGACAGAAGGAGCTTAAAGTTTGGCATAGGTTTTCCTTTCCCTTTTTATCATCACATCCATGCTCCTGCCTTGTTTGTTCACCACTCATGTTTAATTATTGGTGTGGCTAGACTGGCATGAAGGTGTGTGCCAGGAGATCTGTAAAGTTGCGCCAGCCTTTACTTGAGACTCCCACTAACTTTACCTGCTCCAAAGTAAGTTGGGAGGCCGGAATGGACTCTTTCCCTCCCCCACCCCCAAGTATGTTCAGTTAGGAACACATACCTGAACAGGAGTAAGCTGTACTATACATTTCTTCCTGCCCCAAACTGATGAATGGTGTAGTTCAGTGCATCTCGTTATTTCATCTTCCCCACCAGACCTCCTCTCCACAGAAGGTGCTGAAGCAAAATCTTTCCAAGGATGTGAAGAGGAAGAAAGACCACAAGGCGTTCCCCAAGGCTCAGATGCATAGGACCTCCTCACTCAAAAGAAGCAACAGGTATTTGGGCATCTTAGAATACCTGATTCAACAAGGGGAACATCAGCAATGAATAATGAAGAAGACACACCTTTTAAGACTGGGAAGCAGATATTTTCTTCAATGTATAGATATTAATTACCTGTTTTAGATCTGCAGCATAGTATTAAAAATCTCTGTCCTAAGAATAGAATTGAAAAGGGTAGGACTGTTTATTAAGGATATCAGAAGGAGGGGATGGGATGATATTTAAAAAAAAATTCCCCACCATTCTGGGGCAATGAGTATATTTTTTTAAAGTAAGTTAGATGCATTATTGGAGGACATACAGATCCTATCTACTGTATATATGAGAGAGAGGGAGAGAGATTCTGCTGTTATTCAGCAATTTGCCACTGGATTTTGATCTGATTTTTTAAATCATCCTCCAGGTGATTCAAAAATGTGTTTCGAGGCTATTTTGGGGTTCTTCTGCCCTAATTGTTGCAAAAATCTCATGTTGCCAGAAGATACTGCTAACATAGCAACTTTCTACACTTGATATGAGATTGCCAGCTAGAGAGAGGGTATCCAAAATAATTCAATATTTAAAATTATCAGATGAAATCTGAACATTTCATTTAAATATATTCAGAATCCTGTTTATGGGGCCACTGACTTCAATAGACCCCCAAAATGGACGTAGGCCACTGGGAGAAGAAACTGCAGTGTGAGAAACTATGGTGATCCAAGCCTTTCAGAAGCTTAAAAAGAGGGAAAATACATCAACATGCCATGATGGCTTCTCATAATCTCAATGTACTAATCATAGTACATTGCTGACCTTCCAAAAATTGTTGAAAACATGATTGTTTGCCCAGGCATGGGGGTTGTGGAGTTAGTGAAGCTCGGGTGGGTTGATATTAGCTTACATTGCTTTTTATTTTCAGCTGCCATTTTTGTTTTGAATTACATGTTTTGCATTGCATGCTTTAAGGTTTTATATTGTGATTTCTGTTTAAACTTTGCTTGCTGCCCAGAGTTGCTGTGGCAAGAGGGGCAGCCATATAAAGAAAGGTAGTTTGCTACATCATCTGTAAGGGGAAAAAATCGTGGGGCAAGAGAAGCATAGTCCTGGGCATCAATTTTTTCCTTGCAAATCATCTTACCCTCTATTTACAGCGGTTCCTCAGCTATCTGTGTTACCAGATATTGCCAAACCATTTTTGGTGCCATAATTCTCAGCCACCTTGAAAAGCAGGATAAGCTCTGTGTTTCATACCAACATCTGCTTTTATAACATACATTTGTCCTGGTGGCTATCTTTAGACCAACGTAAATTGCAATTAACTACAGATGGTTTTAAACCAGCTGCATCTGTAACAGTCAATGAATCTTAACTCAAGGGATTTGGATTGAAACCAACTGTTGCAAGCTTATACCAATTGAATAGGTACTGCTATGCATTGTACTAGCTATAGATCCAATGTTATATAGAAATCAGTCTTCTGTAAGATCTATGTCTGGGATAAATCCTAATAGTGATTGAATTTACTGTACATCATTATTCCCTAAAAATAAAGGCTCATTTCAGGTGTTCAAACAGAGCTTTGTGGGAAAACCAAATTTTACCTGCACATCTTCAACAGTATGAAAAATAGAACCTATATCTATGCCTATAGCCACAAAGTTTCTCTGCATGGTTGGAAACTCTGTTGTTTTTTAATGCTATGCCCATCTACCATATTGCAACTTTTGGAATGAATGTTTGCATCTGTTTTTTGTTCTTTCTCTAAGGAGAGACCCAGTCTCCATATCAGCTCAGTACCTTGTAGTGTCAGCTCCTAAAGAAGTAGAAAATAGCATGGAGCCTGTGGCCACTCATTGAGGCCCTGCACTAGACTGAAAGAATCTGAGTTCTGACTGCAAGAAAGAGAGAAGTTAAAGTGATTGTATTTGACAGCTGTTAGTGTATGTGTCTTGGCAGGCGAAGTAAGGCTCTGTACAATCTCTACACAACATTCTGTGATGAAGGAGAACACTTTAGCCCATGTCTTCTTCATGGAGCAAAAGGTAAGAGAGAATATGGTTGCATTTTCCTTGCTATTGAAATTAGTACTAGATATCTAGAAGTATGTTTTCGATTTCATCAGCCAGATTCCTGGAGTTGCTCAAATTGCCAAACTCCTGTAGGCTTTATGGAATAATCTGATGACAGGATCTGAAATAGATTCTAAATTAGGATATCTGGATTTCTTTGGGTCAAATAAAGCAATAATATAATTTGCTTTTAGGGCCTTTCAGCAGACTCAGAATATTATATTTGCTTTTCCAGGACTCTCCAGGGCTTGTACCATTTTTAGTGCCATCAGAAGGGGAAGAATTAACATCAACTATCTCCTCATTACCTTACACACGTTGGGGATCCTACTGACCAGAGCTCAGATGTTCCAGGCTCTCAAGTTTATCCCTGTTGATGGTGTGTACTATTTCTCATTCTTGGGCCTAAGGGTTTCATAAACCAATACTTTACATTGATTTGAAACAAGCAATCTGTGTGTGCATGCTTGTAAGTATGTGTGTGTACATGAAAAAAATTAAAACATGTAACATTTGGCTCATTCATAATAAACTCACTGTAGTTGTCCCACACTTCTTACCATCTTCTCTTGCCTTTCTTTTTTCAATACAGCCCATGGCAATCTGGACTTTTATGACTTCTTGGATGTTGCACGTGATACCTTGCTCTACATTGATACAGAGGGTATGTAGACGGAAACTGACATCATTCGAATACTCACTGAGGAACACTCCTCAGGGAGTCACCCCAAGTCTAAATCTCACCCATAGAAGAAACCAGCCAGGGTCAACTTTGGTCAGCTCTACATTAAGTGAAGTGAGATAGTCATAGATAATGAAAGGTACAGGGTAGAGAATAGATCATGCTGTCTGTTTCACGTGACTTGCTCTCTGCCTCTGTCAACCCTTCAAGGTAACAAAGTCAGGCAAAAGGAATTGCTAAGAGTCTTGGAATGCACTCTAATGTGGTTAGGACATTGTAACAGATTCTTGAAATCCTGTCAAATCCTCTCTCTAATTCAATTTATACCTAACACAGTCAATATAAAGTTATTCTGAATTTCTTTCTCACACTTTCTATGTTCTCAAGGCTCAGATATCTTTTTTTGTAATGGCTCAACCTTTCCATCCTCCTTCTCTGAGTTCATGCGCTCCTAAGTTTCCTTGCTGCTTCCAGATATCAGTAATGCTGAAATAAGATTCAACTGACAACTTTTGTATATACAGCTGAGCAAGAGGGGAGGCATCATTATGTCCTTTGCCTTGGGTAACCCTAATGTTTGAGGCCTTTCCTAAACCTGATCAATGCATATCAAGTCACTGGTCCTTTAAGATGGCCAGATGCAGAACTGGAGGACTTCAAAAATTTAAAGTGACTATTTTGTGCAAATTTACAAAAACTTGACAATTGCTTAAGGCCCATTACTAAGATAATTTATATGATTTTTTTAGCTGCAGGATAGCTGTATTCTGAAACCTAATCACTAGTGTCAGATCACCTCCAGAAGCCCTCTGAGATCAGTGAAAGGGGCCAAAAATTCTTTACTGAGTACAGTATCTCTTCTTTCCTATTTTAGTACTGACAGTTTTATTCCCATGCTACTGAAATTTTCATGAACATTCTATGATGTCATATCAGCTTAGCCAATCAGTACAAGAGACCTCAGTAGCACAGCCAATTAGTCTAAGTACAGGTAGTCCTCACTTAACTACACTAATTGGGACCAGAAACTCCATCATTAAGTGATGCCATTGTAAGTCAAAAAACCATGTGACTGCGCCACTTAGCAACAGCAGTTCCAGCAGTCCTGGTTGCCATCATTAAGCGAAGACTGCATGGGTTGTTAAGTGAGGACCTTACATGACTGCAACTTGCGACTTCCTGCTGACTTCCCCATTGACTTTGCTTGTCAGAAGCCAGCAGGGAAGGCGCAAATCACAATCACATGATCACAGATTAAGTACAAGGATAACTACCACTCATTCAGTACTGTTGTAAGTTTGAACAGTCATCGAACCAGTGGCCATTAAATGAGGACCACCTGTAATATCAACAGACAGCTATAATATAATGCACTATTTTCTACCCCACTGCTTTACAGGACAATTTAAGGCAAAAGTACTTGTCTTGCAACCTTTTCTTCATCCAATATTCCTACTGAAATTTATGGAAATTACTGGTTATCAGTTTGTGCTTTTTAATTGTCCTATTTTCTTTCTCTTGCATCTTCTGCAGCTTTCCAAAACGTTCAGTGGGTTTTCAGAACCATTAAAAAAGATATGATAGCCATTGAAGAACTGGAGCCAATTTTAGCATGCTTAGGGATCAGCCTCAGTCCCACTATTATACAACGGACACTAGAATGCACTCGCATTACCAGTAAGTATTTGCCTACGGGGGGGGGGGTACCATTAAAAAGATTACAAAATCTGGTGTTAAGCTCAAGGTTTCTGTCAAGTTTCTGTAGTTTTTGATTTCAGCAGGAGAACCAGATTATTACTAGAGATAGAAAAGAAAATCTGGGCTCTTTCAAGTTCATCTCGAAGGAAATGTGAAGTCTACATTCCAAGTTCTCTTTCAGTATGCATCAAAATTAAAATGCTAGAGGCATTGCCAGTTTCCTTGACTTATCATTCTACAGGTAGTCGTCATTTAACAACCATTCATTTAGTAACCATTCAAAGTACAGCAGTACTAAAAAAGTGACTTACGACCAGTCCCCAAAGTTACAACCATCCTAGCACCCCCATGGTCATGTGATTGCAATCTGGGTGCTTGGCAATCAGCTCACACTTATGACAGTTGCAGCATCCCAGGGTTATGTGATCACCATTTGTGACCTTCTCAGCTGGCTTCTGGCAAGCAAAATCAATGGAGAACCATGTGATTTGCTTAATGACCGCATGATTTGCTTAACAACTACAGTGATTTGCTTAACAACCGCTGCAAAAAAAGGTCATAAAATTGGGTCTGATTCACTTAACAAGTGCCCCGCTTAACAACCAATTTTCCAGTCCTTATTGTGGTAATTAAGTTAGGACTACCTGTATTACATTTAACAGGAAGATAGAACATTTTATTGCAAAATAAGAGAGGAATATTAGCTGTGACCAACAGTAAGAAAGAAAATTTTGAGATTTTCAGCTAATGTTTTTATATCAATTTTTCCAAATGACATCACATTTACTGTCACAATAACAGCAAACACAGATGTGGTTGACTGAAATGAATATCCATCCCTACAAAATACAAATACCTATCGACTAATGAAAACCGAGTTAAATCAATTGTGCCAAGACCACACACTTTTGATTCAATAAACCAATAAAACTGGACTGGTGAACTCCTTTGTAGTATTGATTCCTCAGGATAGCTAAGATACAGTTTACCAGTAATTACGGATGAGTTGCTAAATAGGGAATTATAAGTTTATAGACCTAAATGTGGGGAAAGAGATTCCTTTATACAAGCCTGAACTACCTCTTTTTCTTTCGTGACAGGGAGTGGGAGATTAAACATCTCAGAATTTCTGTCAGCTGTGAGAGGATTATTAAGTTGCCATATGAGTAAGTGTCCATAGCCCATGAATTAGATTGAGATCAGTCTGCAGTAATCTCACAAACTTCATGGTAGGACGTTGTCTGGTTCCTGCAAGTTATCATTTTTTTTCCTACACAATGCAGTGGCATTGGATCATGGCCTACCTCCCTTACTCCCGTCTTACCAGGAAGTGCCACCTTCACCACCCAGGACATTTGTGGTACTCCTGGCTCCTAGTAGCAGAGCTCGGTTCTGAAACCACATATTATCACAAGGGTGAGGGAGAAACAGGTGCTCCTTCAGGACACAACTGCCCTGAAACTACATCAGATAAATGTAGTCTATTTTAATTAATAAACCAAAAAAGATATGCTAAGAGCTGCCACTTTTATGACCAAAGGCCAGGTATGAATAGCACATCAAAAAGAGTGCTTTTGTTTGAAGGAAGAAAATATTCTCACAGTTGCTGTGTTTGAGAGATCCAGGCACGTTGAGAAGCCCACACTCTTCTTTTCTCCCATCTTGAAGGGAGAGCCTTTTCCTGCCAAGCAGGAATATTCCTGCCATCGCATATCCCGTGTTGAGCTCAACTACTCCCGCGCTGCACTGCAAGGGTGGGGCAGAGACCACACTTTTCTTTAAACTGGGCAACAAGAAGGGATCGTGTTGCTTTTTTACTTTCAGATGTACAGGCTTTAGATTAAGTAAGTATTACAGAGGGGGCTAATGGTTATACTCTATCTTAGATGGTTGTTGTAAGGATTTACAGTGATGCTGTATTGATAACCGATATGAAAACAATTAATGTACCATGAAAAAAACTTCTATTTTTATGTTTCCCAAAATTCAGGAAGCTGTGGCATACTTATTTTCTGAACTAAAATAGAAGGCACACTTTACATTTTATAGTTTATTTGTTTGCTCTTAGAATGACCTATCTTTAGAGAAGCTCAGCCTCCTGTGTTTTATTTATGAATCATTGATCGGAAAGGAGATAATTGGCTCAAAGGAGAGCAGAGATTCTTGGAGAAAGTCACAAGATATACAGTACTCCTTTGAGATAAGTCATTTATGTTGTGTCTGCATGGAGAATGATGAGTACTTTGGATTCACAATAAAATTGAAAATTGTCATTTTCTTTTTACTATACTCATAACAATAGCTCTGGGAACCAATGTGTAAAATATTGTTATTTGGAAGTAAGATTGAAGATTGCATTTGTAGAGGTTCCTTACTTCAGCTTGAGATGTATGATGGTTAATAGTCTCATTACCTCCCTCTGCATGTTATTTATAGGTGAGTATGGTATTTTGGAGAATGGATCTTCTCAAGACTTTGCTACAATAGATGACTTTGAAATTGAATGGAGAAGAAACATTTTGCTTAATAAGGCAATAACACTAGGTTATGCTCACTTGATTGGATTACATGAGCCATATGAAGAGATCACTGTTGACAAACTACAGAAGAAAGCAAATAAATCTCAGAAACCTGTTGGGCTAAGAAAATCCAAGAAAGCATCATCTGCATGTTCCATGGAAGAAAAGGACAAAAAAGATCAAGGCATAGACTGGCCAAAGATCAGACCAAAGTTTGGCTACACAAGTCAGGACACTCTGTTTCCACTAAGTTCCTCTCTCCCCCTTAGAGGAGATAAATTGATTGCTGGGCTGCCAAAGTCAAGATGGCCATCGAGAAAGGCCCCAATACTACCTGATCTTTATTTAGTCACCCAGGCAAGCCTCAGCACTGAAAACACGCAACAGAAAAAGAAGAAGAAGAAGAGGCTTTCCTTCCAAGACAACCCCCCAACTAAGCATGATCCTGATGAAGACAACCAGGAAACTGATTATAAGACAGCTGAAAGTGAAGATAAGGAACTTTCAGAAGAACTATCATTCCAGCAAGGTTGGTTTTGAAATGTTGTCCATTTAGTGCAATACACACCTGAGCTTCCATGTTTTGGATCATTGAAATGTGGTGAAGAGTCACATTTAAATCAGATATCTCTTTTAATGAATGCCAGGGACCCATCTCCAAGGACAGCTGGTTTCTGATGTAGCGCCTCCTCTGTTTGGCTACTAGGGAATTGGCAGGGAGAGGAAGGGTGAGTCTAATGAATCTTAGATAATGTCAGGGCCAGCTAAAGTTTGAACTGGTGACCCCTTTGTTTTCCCTAATACAGTCTTTTATGGAGACCCATTCAAGATTGTTGAGTTGAGAGGAGAGTCAGAATTATCCACCAGGATTTTGCACTGCTTTACCCCTGACAGCTCAATAGTCCTTCCTGACTATGCTGCATAAACCAGTTTAGTTTTTTGTCTGGTCTACTGTATGTAAAATTCTATACCAGCTTATCTCAATTTGATGCCGTTCAAATGTATTGAACTACAACTCCCATAGTTCTCCATAAGCATATTCATTGACTCTGTATTCCCTTTTTGTCTTCTGTATTCCTATCTCTGACATTAGCCTTTCAGGACAGGGTTTTCAGTGAGAAGCCTTGTGCAAGATGATTTATGCAATTTCGAGCAATCATTCCCAGATTTTAAGTAGCACCAGACCCCAGCTAGTCTTACTTGTTAGATGTAGAAGACTAAAGAATAATGGTGTTAGATTACTCATCTGGGTAATCAGTTCAATCAATCCATTTATTTTATCAAATCAAAGGACCATGGGGTTCGTATGTTCCATACTTTTCTGAACATTAAGAAATTCCAGTGACTCTCTTGCTGGATAAGCATTGAGATTTATGGTAATGTAATATTATTTTATTTACAAATTCCAGTACAGTATAGTCATTATTTGCAGTATATCAATGGAGCCTAGTACTCTAGAAGCAAACAGACATTGTCTGAGCAGGCAACAAACTAGCAACACTTTTTCAGATACTCTGAGAGTGCTTTCTACCATCTGTCTCTGCCAATCTCACATCAGATTCTCCCTTCTCCCTTCTTGTTCAAAATCAAAACTTCAGATTGCTTCTTTACCCCTTCCCACCAGCTCAATTGTCACCATCCTGGCTTTCAAAGGGCATCACACCTCCCAAACTGGAGAGAAATCCCCATCAGAACTTTTTAAAGATTGCATGTTCAACCTCAGACAATCCACAAAGGAAAATATTATCCAACTACTTATTTTAAATACTGTTGTTAAGTGATTAGCTGGTCACATAATCCCCAATCAACATTAATAAGAAATAAGATGGAGGTAGTGGTAAATGTAACAAAATGCAAGTCAACACAGTGTATGTATGCCTCCATTTCAGAAAACTAATAACAGAATGGAGGCCTAAGTAAGATCTTCACTTAGGATGGCTATAATTTTTTTACAGTGAATATTTTCAGAGCAACTCAACGCATTATGCTTGCCTTAAGAAATTGCTGTAATGGTGTTGTTTCTCATAGTAGAGACATGTGTATGCATTGCCAAATGTGTACATGTGTCTTTAAATATGCATATGTACAAATTTGAGAATACAGATCTAAACATAATTCCCAAAAATATATATGCTATATGAAGGTACATATCATTTAAAAAGAATTTCTACACTTTACTGAAAGCTCTGTACTAGGGATCCTAGGACCTTTAAAATGATTACACCGGCAAATAAAATATATGCTCCTAAGACAGCCTCCTAATTTTCTAATACATATCATATCATATCATATCATATCATATCATATCATATCATATTTCTAAACAGAAGTGTGCCTATATTTACTGATCCATTTTATAGTGCCAAGTACTCATGTAGAACATCTTAGGTTTTCACCTGAAGAAAATGCAAACATTAATTGCTTCTTTACCCACTTCATCCTCAAATTTGTAGCAATTCCATGTTTTGTATGCATTCCGCCTTTGGGGAGGGAATAAAATTTCTATTGAAAGATTTTTTATTTCATAAAATATACAATAGTATCTATTCTCTCTTTCTGTGTAGAGATAGGATGGGATTGGGCTTTGACTCATCTCCTTTTAACACAAACTTGCATCTCTTAATCGCCTTCCTATTATCACTTCAGTCAAGTAAAGTGCAATAGTAAAGTACGACTATGGTAAACATATTTGTTTCTGTTTGCCCGAGGCCCAGAAATCTTCCAGGTGGGAGAGTGTGAAAGGCTTGACAAAAGACCTCATTCTGGCTAAGGATCACTTGCCCTGTGAACTGTGAGCAAGCCTAAATAGGACTCAGAATGTTACTGGGCATGTATTTTAGCAATAAAATCAGTTGGAAGAGCCTTCATTGCTCACTTAGCATTGATTCCTCAAGCCCAGTTTCCTTTGCAATGGTCTGAAGATGTTTGTGTGCAGACCTAGAGGAGTCATAATGGTAGGCTAGCACTTTCTGGTTTTTTTACCCTTGTTCAAGTCATGGATTTGTTTCTTGAATGATCTTTTTGAGTTGGGATAAAAATATATATGATGTGGAAGCAGTGTACATTTCTGAATATCTATCATGGTTATATTCCACATGGATGTACATCTTGAAGACCCAAATAGTAGATGACCTTAAACCATCTCATTTATTTCTTCCTCAACCTGCACCTTTCAGATGTTTTGGGACTGCAACACCCAACATTTCCAGCCATGTAGCACGAAACATATCTGGAGAGTAGCACATTGGTGAAAGCTTCCTTAGAAGAACCCATGAGACCATGAAAAAAAAACCTTTTTAAAGTTCCAAACAATTTTTAACAAAATATTTATCTGCCCCAAACCTAGGTAACTGATTTAATACAAATTGTACTATGCTCTTTCATATATTCTTGGCTGGTTGGTTGGCCTCTGATACTGTCTCTGATTTGTACCACTTCTAATGAGCCATTTAAGAGAACTGAGAAGGGAAAACTCTTCAGCTAGCAATTCTGTAAAGGGCATATTGACTTTACGTGTGATTCCTTTCCTGCTGAAGGGATTGAACTGGATCACAGATGTCCTTCATCATAGGCCTCACTGTCTTTTAATGACAGTGGGCAGGACACGACCAAGCATTCTGATGGTAAGCAGTCACTATGGATGACAGCAAAATGGGCCTCTGTTGTGTGGAACGTTGCTTGCCTCACATAGAAAGTGCAAACTTGTCCCCGTTCCTTCACTAGACTCTTCATATCCAGGTAGGATTGAAGCCCTTGGTAAGCTTGGGACAAACAACCAGTTTTTATGAGGCTTAAGAGAAAGGTATTGAAACCTACACCCAAGTGGGATGAACCAGGGGCCAAACCTGTGTTTAGGGGTGAGGCTTTTTCTTTCCTGCCTTCCATGTCAGACATATTTTTGTTTGCTCAGGTTATTGGAAACCTAGTCATAGCAGAAAGAAGGAAGGGTTTCTACGTTGTAACTACACGTGTTCAAACCATGAGCCAGAGAGCAGAGAGAATGTCAAACATTTGGATTTGATGTTGGCTGACTCAGCTACAGCACCCTGTTTAGTTGATTTTTGACATACTGGCACAGCATTACTTTGTGTAAAAAAACACAACCCTGAACCAGTATTTCCCAGCCTTGGCAACCGTAAGATGGGTGGACTTCAATTCCCAGAATTTCCCAGCCAGCATGAAGTCCACACATCTTAAGGTTACCAAGGTTGGGGAACACTGCCCTAAAACCCATGTATACACACTGAAGGATATTTTTCTATCACAGAAAAAAAGTTGGCTATATTCGGAATCAGCTGAGTGAAACCCATATTCAAATGTAGACTCTACTTTTGTTTTATATGAAGTGATAAGAACAAGTCATAAAGACATGTGCATCCATAACTACTGTAATGCACTGTACACAGGGCTGCTCTTGAGGAGTATCTGGAAGCTTCAACTGGTACAGAATACAGTGGCCCGGGCAGTTATGTGTGCTCCTAGAAGAACACATATTATACCTCTGCTTCATGAGCTGCACTGGCTGCCAGTTTGCTTCCAGGTCCAATTCAAGGTGCTGGCTTTGACCTTTAAAGCCCTTCATGGCATGGGGCTGGGTTATCTGAGGGACCGCCTCTCCCCGATCACATCAGCCTGTCCCATTAGATCTGGCAGGAAAGATGTGCTATGCGTTCCATCGGCCAGAGACTTGCATTTGGTGAGTCCCAGGAGGCGGGCCTTCTCTGATGTGGCGCCCTCCTTGTGGAACATTCTCCCCCCTGAGGCTCGCCCCTTCCCTGCTGTCATTTAGGAAGTCCCTCAAGACCTGGTTATGCCATCAGGCCTGGGGGTCTTTGGGAACCGGAGACATTCTTAGATGGCTCCACTATGATTGATACCCTGCTTTCTCCGAGGGTTTTGTATATTTTACAATTTTACATTTTTTTGATAATGTTCACGTTGTAAGAATTCTTTTTTATCTTCTATAATGCTTGTTTTTAACCATTTGTTATTTTATTCAATTGTTGTAGACCACCCAGAGTCACTTCGTGCGAGATGGGAGGCTATATAAATGTGATGAATGAATGAATGAATGAATGAATGAATGAATGAATGAATGAATGAATGAATGA